CTATACTCAGCACCCAGTCTGGAGCAGACATTAACATATGTTGGTATATAAGAAAGAAGAAAGCAGCCCCTGACCTCCAGGAGCTGGCCTGGGATTCACAGTTGACCTTTGGTGTTCCTAACCTGAACAGAAACAATGCCACAGAACGGCAGCATCAGAGGAGGCCATGTCCAAGATGGATCAAGATACAAACAGGACCACGTCATAATCGTGTCTGAACATAGACAAAATTAACATTGAACATTGTCCGAAACACAAAAAACACTAACCATCCCCTATCTTGGCTAATAAAAGAGACTATTGCTTCTTACTAATGACAACTTTCACCTTAGTGAACTCTTCCCTCCTTCTAAATAAAATTTAGATCCCTAGTCATAGATTTACCCTTTACTCCTGGATAACATTCAGTCCAGAGCAAAGGTTTGCTTCCTCCAAGCCTCCCTGAAATCATCTAACAAAAACCCCAATTCTAAGTCTTTTCTGATCCCCTCTGTCTGTGATGACCCACATTTCCCAATCATGCATGTTCTCCCTCACTGCAATGAGTATCCAACTTACTCAGTTACAGCTGTGTTTCTGGTGGTCCTTTACTGCAGTAGCATTAACACAGTATCACCCATCTATGGATCATTGAGCATAAAATATCACTGTCAAAAGTTACAAAGCCTTGCTCATCCAAAACTAGTTGATGGTGATAGAAAAATACTGGCTCCCTCTGGAGGATGAGTGGTTATAAACTAGGAAGGGACATGAGGCAACCTTTCAGGGTATTGGAAATGTTCCACATTTCATTTTTTAAAAGATTGTATTTATTTATTAACGAGAGACACAAAGAGAGAGGCAGAGACACAGGCAGAGGGAGAGAAGCAGCCTCCAGGCAGGGAGCCTGCCGTGGGATTCGATCCCGGGTCTCCAGGATCACACCCTGGGCCGAAGGCAGGCGCCAAACCGCTGAGCCACCCACGTGTCCCTAAATGTTCCACATTTCAAACTAAGTGTTTTGCATTTCAAATGTTGGGTTTTTAACAGAAGATTATTTTTGGGGGGGAGGGCAGAGGGAGAGGGAGAGAGAGAATCTCAAGCAGATTCCCCACTGAGTGCAGAGCCTGCCTCAGCTCCATCCCAGGAGTCTGAGATCATGACCCAAGCCTAAATGACTAGTTGGATGCTCAACCGACTGAGCCACCTGGGCACCCCTATTTATTTATTTGAGAGAGAGAGAGAGCAGGAGTGTGCACACATGTGAGGAGAGAAGGGGCAGAAGGGGAGGGGTAAGGAGAAGGAGAGGGAGAAGTGGCTATGAGCTGAGTGTGGAGCTGGACTTGGGGCTCAATCTCATGGCCCTGAGATCACAACCTTTGCTGAAACCAAGAGTCAGATGCCCAACTGACTGCACCACCCAGGTGCCCCAACCTACATAAAATGTTTAAACAAAAAAAGATTCAGCGATACACTTAATATTAACACACTTTACACACTTTTTGTATACATATTATACTTTGATTTTTAAAAGTGTTGTCCAACAACTTTGGCAGGTAGTGGGGAGGACAGGAAATCCAAACTGGTCACTTAAATATCACTTTAGTAACTTAGCAACAAGGAGAAGTCTAGAGTAGGATGGTAGCCAACTGGAAGGGAATCTTGGGCTGTCAGAGGATGGGATCTATGATGAAAGTCTGGAAAATCAACTGCTTGATGAAAACTTAAAGCATTTGGGTTGTTTATCCCAGAAAAGACTAGATTAGAAGGAAATGCAATTAAACTCAAATATTCTATTTTGCAATAGGAGTTTCAACCCCAAACAGAGCTTCCTAATGGTGACAAAAGAGGTAAAAGGAGGCTGTGATGTCCTCATGCCTGGGAAGTTGAAAAGTCAGTTGCCCAGCAAATACACCCACCATAGCGTGGTCTGGGAGTAGGAGACAGAGGAATGACCCCAGATGCTCCTTTCATGACTGGGGACTCTGGTTTAGTCATGGGTGTCCTGGCCCAGCTGCAGAGCACCGATTAATTAGTGCCAAAGAGAGCATTCTCGGATGTGCACTAAGCTTTTTATATTCTGCTGTCACTGCCACTGACCACAGCTTTAATTAAGTCCCAGGCTTAATTAGCACAGTGCGGTGCTGCCATCACTATTTCCCGATGACTTTATCTTGGTTCCTGGAAAGATGGTGGTGGTGACAGTGTCAAGAGCAGGGGTGAGGCTAAAGAAGACTAAATCATGGACTCTAGACACTGTTGATTTGAGGGTATGTGAGATGGGGGTGGGTGGGGATCACCTGTAGGATTCAGCACCTGATCTCGGAGAGCTCACAATTTCTTGGAGAATTAAGACTCCCACCTAGGAGATGGCACAAGGCGGTGTGATTGGTAAGGTGCACACAAATGAGAGGTGCACACAAATATCCCAGCAACTGAGAGGGGGTAGAGGTTCTTTGGGACTGGAGGAATCAGCAAAGCTTCATGGGGAGGAGGGCCTAGCTGACCTTTAAAGGAAGAACAGGATTAGAGGAGCCACCAGGCAGGCTAGCCACCTAGTGGAGGGAGGAGCATGAGTGGAAGAGCGGAGGTAACCACAGAAACCTGACAACATCTCAAGAATGGCCAGGAGGTGAAGGTAGCCAAAAGCAGAGCAGAAAAGAAGTGATCCCTGTCAGAGAACAGCATGAGCACCACTTCTGGGGAAGTGGTGGGGGGCCAGGTTGAGGAGGACCTCCAATGCCAAGCTGAGACAGGGAAACCTAAGGGAACCCATCAGAGAAAAAAGCTGGTTTTTTTTTCCTTTGCTCCTTTTTGGGCTTCTATTCTTGCTAGGATCTGTACCCCCACCCTACACATGCCTTATTTTATGTATGTCCTTCTTGTAAGGGACAAAGAGTTAGTGATATCTTTGGGGTCTTCCAGCACAATATATACTATCTAAGGAACTAACAGGCAGAGCCATCATGTGCATATTCCAGACCACTGGTGCTGGACATCTCAACGCCCAGACCCCCGGCTCCAAGGAGTGAGTGACTTATGATGGACATCTGGCCCCCGTCCTTGTTCTGAGCAGTTCCGGGATGCCTGAGAGGACATGTGCATCAGACCACCATTGTCAATAAATCCCCCAGACCCCAGCAAAGACCAGACTCATGCTCCTTTCCTTTCCGAGTCTCCGAGACTCTATCTGCTGTTTCTATAGCCTCAATAAACCGCTTTCACTTCTTGCTGGCTCGAGTTTGAGTCCCATCCCACATGAAGCCAAAGACCTTCTTCTCTTGCCTCGTCCTGCAGGACCCCCTCTGGTTCCCCCTCGGACCCTGCCTGCCTGCATCAAAGCTAAGTTGGGACCTCATTCAGTAGGTAGTGGGGAGCTGCTGAAAGTGTTTAAGTCGCTTGAATGATCCAAATTTCTTCTAGTTTACAAGACTCTTGAGGGTGTGGCTCTACCTACCTCCTCGGGGGTCTCTCCATCCCTCACACTCTTGGGCTTCAGCCTGAGTGTAGGACACTTCACACTCCCTGTACTCCTAAGTCCCATTCCCTCAATTCTCAATCTTAGTGTCTAAGAAGCCTCAAGGACAGGGTCCCGTTTACCCGAAGCCTGAGCAGGTGCCCCCTTTCAGGATTCCCTCAACCCCCTAGAGAACCCCCTAGCGCCGTGTTGTAATTCTTCATTTGTCGGAATCCTCCGCTAGACTGTGATGTCATCTGAGGCTAGGGACAGCACCTTGTTCACCACCGTGTCCCTAAGAACCAGCACTTGATCAGCAAAGGGGTGACGGACGGATGGAGGGGCTGGGCTGGGGGCGGGGAGGACCAGCGATCGCTCAGCCTCCGCCCCCCTGTTCTCCCTCCGGGAGTTTCTGAAGGACAATGGAAAAGCGCCAAGTGTCAACAGGTAACGGGCTGCTACAACATGTGCGCTTAATTTTAATGATCAGCTTCATACTCTCACAGAACGCAGAATGGGGGTAATCAAAAAAAGAGCTCCAACCTTCCCCCCAGCCCCCCACGCCAGCACCTCCCCGAGACTAAAACGAAGCCCTGGCAATCCCGAGGCACGCCCGGGAACTATTTGGGGAGCGGCGAGGCGGAGGGTTACTAGCCGGAACTATACGCGGGAACCCTCCGCTCGGGGCTTGTAGTCGTGGCGGCGACGCCTCGACCACCAGGGGGAGGAATCGCGCCGCAGCCCGGGCCTTGTTTCACCCAACAATGAGGGGCCGCCTGCCACTCTGGGGATTGTAGTCTTAGGGTCGCAATCTTGCGCGGTGCACGCCGGGAGTTGTAGTTCCAGGCAAGGAGGAGGGGAAGGCTTCTAAGCGCCAATGATGAGTTCCAGAAACTACACCTACCAGAGGGCCGCGAGCCCCGGAGTAGGCTCCGGTTTCCGTCGAGTTGACTGTCTGGGATACTCCTGAAGGGTCAACTTGACCGGGTAAGTTGGGGGTGAAGGAAGCTCTTCTGTTCGGAACTGAGGTATCGTCAGCCGACTTTGTCCTCCTCCAGCCCGGTTTGGGGGCTGCCCGTCTCAATCCTAGAAACTCAGCATTAATCCTTCATCCTTTTCTGTTTCCTCTTCAGACACCTCCGGTATCTACCTGCACCCTTAACGCTCCCACTGTCACCTGGCGCCTTCGCTCCGGGCGCGCCTGGAGCCCCAGCCTGAGCCCAGGTCTGAGGCCCCAGCCTCCACCGCCCTACGCGGAGCGCTCAACGTGACCTCCCAGAAACCTGGACCGCTGTAGGCTCCACGCCTCCTGTGTGCTTCTCTCTTACTCCCCCTTTCCGCTTTTTCATGCTAGTGGAAGAAGGGTCGCCTTTCCCACTTCCCGCTCGGTGGCAGAGCCCCGGACTCAGCCGACCCGGGGTCTAGCCCACCCCTGCGGCTCGCTCGCTGTGTGACCTCGGGCGGACCAAGCAGTGTCCGTGGGACTCCCGCTCTTCGTTTACAAAACCTCCGTCTTAGGCGGAGGCTCTTTTGTGGAGCCAATAAGCTAGTAGGTGTGAAAGGGCTTTTTTAAAAAAAAAAAAAAAAACTGTGAAGCCTCCACCAGCGAGAGAGGTTATTTTTGTTATAATTGTTGATGCTCTGGAACACTCTTCTCTTGGCTCCTTTTCCGTCTCTGCCCCCTTGTTGCTCAAGTCTGCCCCTTGAGGGCTTGGTGTCTCCGTACTCTAAGAGCAGGATATTTCCTCACTTCCTCCAGAGACCAAAGGTCAGACTAATGAGCTTTAAGCCTCCAGAGAGCTTTGTCTGAAAGGAAGCCCCAGAGAAGGGCTTATCTTGGACTCTGTCCTCAAATAGCCAGTGATGAAAAGTCCACACAGCTGGCAAATGGGTGGTTGGTTTCTCCTCACTGGAAACAGGATCCCAGCAGGAGATGGACAGCTGCGTTGCAGGCATTGTCCATTGCTTTTGGGCTCTCGTGGGCCTTTTTAAGTACACTCTGATTTTCACGGGGGTGTTTTAGACTCAAAAAGGCTGGGAGGAAAGAATCCATTTTGCCAAAGGGTTTAATACAGAAGAAAAAAAAAAAGATGAAAGAGACCTTGGCCAGGTATGATGAAAGAAGGACATAGCACTGTTAATTAATTTTTAGCATTTTGTGAGCACTTAAAGTGTACCAAGCCCTAGGCAATATCCCGTTTCTTATTTACTTTTTAAAAACATTTATTTTCTCAATTTTCTTATTTAAATTTAACCTTTGAAGTGCCTTCATTTTACTTATAAGGCACTTAGTCTCAGAGAGGTCATACTATAATAACTATTGTAGTTAGAGCTACCATCTCTGGTTAGAGTGCTGTCTCCATGTCAGGTATTTTATTTACATTATTTTATTTAATCCTCAACAATTTCATGAGTGCTATTATTTCTGTCATATGGATAAATTCTCAGAGGCTTAGAATTTAACGAGCTTGCTCGAGATCACAACCAATTAGGAATTGGAATTCAGACTGTCACCAAAGCCTTTCTTTTTACACTATACCAAATAGACTTATTTTGGAGTAAAAAAGACAAAGAATTGAGAGGGTTTAAATCAAAGCCAAGTAAAGGAGCATTTTACTGGGTTCTTAGTACATAAGGAAAGCATGAAAATAGATGGTTTGGCCTACAAAGAAGTATAAAACACAGCCTTTATATAGTATGTGGTATATCCAAAGAAATGGTATAAGGTATAATTGTGTAAAAATTAAATCAGATTAATTGGATAAGTTAATTATTGAGACCTAGAATATGCTTCTAGGTGGCCATGGGGATTGAACCAAGTGAAATGATAGTCATTATTTCATTAATATAAAATGGTGGGCTAGGACACTATATACATTCCGTAAATGTTTGCATACATGCATCCCTGGATAAAAAGTCCTATGTATCATCGGATCAGAAGTTCTCAAACCTTGCGAGAAACATGGGAAGCTTTTAAAAACTGACCTTTGGGAACGAGGACCCTAAAATCTGTATTTTTGAAACTTTCCCAGGTGTTTGTGACGAAAGATTCAGGAACCTCTGAACTAGGTTCTATCTGGGCCACTTGTAGGCAAGTCACTGATTTCAAACTGCCCAGAATTGGTACTGATCCTAGAGCTATCTTAAGGCAGCCCATGATTGGCTAGCAGGTGAGGGATGTGGATAATGCTTAGAGCTGAGAGGAGGGCAGGAAGGACTTGTTAAAACACAGAGAACCAGAGATTTCACTGGGCCTTTATGAATGGGGTAGGCTTACGTGGGTGGAGAAACTTCTAGACAGGCACCACCGTAAATTGTTTGGATGAGGCAAGCAAAAGAAGGTAGAGACCCCTGGGCTGATTTCCTTGGAAAATTATATGGCATTTATGAGGAAGGACTCTGGATACTCTGGCTGGGTATTTCTTAGGCAAAATTGGATTTTTCCATCTCCCCATTGTCCTCGGGCATCAGTTAATGTAAGCCCAAGGAATGTAGACTCATTTTTGTGTATGCCTCACTCTGGCCAATTAGCTTTAGTTTGTATTTGTTTCCAAACTTAAAGATTCTTCCAGAAACTTTCTAGGACTGCTAGAGAGTTCTACTCCCCTTCTGTTGAGCAGTTTTTAACTCCATTCACTCATCCTGATTCCTGTCCCAAGCACTGTTCTCTATATGGGGTGAATCTCTTCCCATAAATTACTGTCATTCTGGTCACCCAGTCCTGAACCCTGACTCATCTTTGGCTCTTCTATCTCCCTTGCCTCCTCAAATCCACTCATTTGCCAAATCCTGTTGTTTCTACTTTTCACTCGATCAACAATATTTCCTAGATAGTCCCTAAGAGCCAGGTACTACACGAGTGCTTTATTTTATTTATTTATTTTTTTAAAAATTTATTTATTCATGAGAGACACAGAGAGAGAGGCAGAGACACAGGCAGAGGGAGATGCAGGCTCCACGCAGGGAGCCCGATGTGGGACCCAACCCTGGGACTCCAGGATCATGCTCCGGGCCAAAGGCAGGCACCAAACCGCTGAGCCTTTAAATGCATTATTATTAAATGCTTTAAATGCATTATTTCATTTTATCTTCCTAGCAACCCTATGAGGATGGATAGTTTCCTGTTGTACCGATGAGTAATCAGGCTTACTTAGTGAGATCAGAGGATCTGCCCAAAGTAAAACTAGGTGGCAAAGGAACTGGGCTCAAACTTGACTCTTTTAGACTTAATATCACTCATTTCCAGAGTAGATTCCAGCTCCTTGGCCTAGCTCTTGAGAGACTGCTACCCTCCAAACCCGTGATACCTTTTTCTTATCACGTGTGCTTTCTTACCTCTGTGTCTTAGCTTATGTACTTTCTTCTACTTGAAAGTCAACTTTTGTCATCTTCCTTGCCCTCCACTGCCAAGCTACAGAAGTGTGCTTTCTTCTCAGAACTCCTACATCTGATCACCTTAACTGACCCTCATTTTTGGCCGTTAGAACTTGGAGCTGCTTCATTGTCATGTGGGTGACATGTATCACGTGCCCTTGCCGTACGTCTTCTCTGTGTGTGTGTGCCCTCAGAGACAAGGGGAAAAGGTCAGGGTGTGAGACTGAGTAGCACATACTCAACTTCTCTCTGGCTAACCAGTCCATGGACTGCATCAGTTAGTTCCTTTTTTAAAAGAATTGCATTCTACCACTACAGAGTAATAGAAAGAAAATCATTTGTTATGTTCTTAAGTTAAATAGAATGATGTTAGGATTATTGGTTATTTGAGGTTTGCCACTGGACCAGACAGTTGGAAGTTGGCATCCAGGAGATCTTTGTGTAATAATTGTTCTGCTTGTGACGTTGTGCAGCCCACTTAACTTCTGAGGACCTTGGTTTGTTCATCAGTACATGTATGTAGTGGGGAGGGTGGGAAATGATTGTGGTGAGGATTGATAGAAATGGTCTCTAAGGCCTCTTCTTTCCCAGACACACTTAGGCTTGAACTTTCTGATCCTTCCCAGAGTGTCTTTTTTTTTTTTTTTTTTTTTAAAGAAATTTTATTTTTATTTTTTATTTTTTTTAATTTTTATTTACTTATGATAGTCACAGAGAGAGAGATAGAGGCAGAGACACAGGCAGAGGGAGAAGCAGGCTCCATGCACCCGGGAGCCCGACGTGGGATTCGATCCCGGGTCTCCAGGATCGCACCCTAGGCCAAAGGCAGGCGCCAAACCGCTGCGCCACCCAGGGATCCCCTTCCCAGAGTGTCTTAAAGCAGAATAGCGTAATGGCTAAAAATATGGGTCTGGGACTCACTATTATTGGTTTAGATGCTTTTGGTTCAGGCAATGGAAATCTAAAGTCAATTTTTTTTAAAGATTTTATTTATTTTTTCATGAGAGACACAGAGAGAGAAAGAGGCACAAACACAGGCAGAGGGAGAAGCAGGCCCCATGCACGGAGCCTGACGCAGGCAGGACTCGATCCTGGGTCTCCAGGATCACACCTGGGCTGAAGGCAGCATTAAACCGCTGAACCACCCAGGCAGCCCAAGTCAATTGGTTTTAACAAAAAGGGGATTTACTGACTCGTGTAACTAGAAAGTCCAGGAGTGGGTCAGGTTTTTCAGGTATAGTCTAATCTAGAGATTCTTTTTTTTTTTTTTTTTTTTTAATATGAGAGAGGGAGAGAGAGCACAAGTCGGGTGAGGGGTGGAGGGAAATGCAGACTCCCTGCTGAGCTGGAAATCCCAAGACTCCAGGATCATGACCTGAGCTGAAGGCAGATGTTTAACTGACTGAGCCACCCAGGTGCCCCCAATCTAGAGATTCTTAATGTCTTCACAAAAATGACTATTTCTCTGATTCTCTCTGCCAACCTCCTTGGGTAGCTTCATCCTCAAGGTAGCAAAGTGACTGCAACATTTCAAGGCTTCATATCTGTCATCACTCTAGTTCAAAACAAGAAAGAACATTTCCATCCTCAACCATCAAAGCCCTGGGCTTTACTCTGAATGGACCAACTGTGTCATGTGGCCACTCTTCATCCAGATACTGACCAGGGCATACCAAAGGGTGATTGGCTCAGGTCAATTAAGGCTCAAGTCTAAGAAGTCTACAGGTCAGCCCAACCCAAGTCACAAGGGTACTGCATAGGAGGGCAAAATAGAATGGATATCGAGAAGTTTGACCATATTCTCCGCTGTTACAGCCATATTGCCTGTGAAAAATTCTGGCTCTGTTAGCTTTATGTTCTTGGGGGAAATTACCTAAGTTGGTCAAGCATCAGTCATCAGTTTCCTCATCTCATTTTTTCAATTAATAATGTATTAAAGCACTTGGTGTAATTCCTGGCCCTCCATAATGTCATGATGACGATGCTGCTGGGGATGAGATTAAAGAGGGATAGAGAGCAATGGCATTGGCTCCAATTTAGGGAGCAGCCTAGTTAAAGAAATGTCTGCTAGTCAGGAACACGCACACCTGCCACGTTGAAGGCTCCTGTTTGATCTACTGCCATATCATAGTCTTCTCTGTCTCTGCCCCTTCTTTCTCATGTGTCCTGTGTAGAAATGCTTTCCTTCCTCTCCCCTATCTCTAAATATTCCTGATACCTCACGCCTAGCCTAAGTTCCACTTTTATAGTCAGTAGTTTAGGTCCTTGTTTTTGTAGACATATAACTGCGTCTCCCCATGAGCAGGATCAGTAGGGGTTAAGAGCTTGGGTCTGGATTAGACAGACCTGGCATTGCTGCCCAGAAGCAGGATAACTTGGGAAAGTTATTCAACCATTCTGTGCCTTACTTTCCTCATCTGTAAACAGGGTGTCCATAGGACCTACCACAGAGAGTTGTGGAGAGAATGAATAATGTACTGTATAGAAAGCTTAGTTCAGTGCTGACACAGTGAATCTTAGACATTATTATTCCTGGTCCCATGAGGACATGATCCAGGTTATGTTGTCTGCAGAGGTTGTGCTGAGTATAAACACTTGACAGTTTTGTTTTTTTTTAAAGATTTATTTATTTAAGAGAAACCATGAAAGTGTGAGTGAGGGGAAGGACAGAGGGAGAGGGAGAGAATCTCAAGCAGACTTCCTGCTGAACTTGGAGCCTGCTGCAGGCCTCCATCTCACAACCCTGAGACCATGACCTGAGCTGAAACCAAGAGTTGGATGCTCAACTGACTGCGCCACCCACGCGCCCCCTTGGCAGTGGGTTTGGAGAACATTGGAAGCTCTCTGCTTTTCCCAACCATCTCTTCACCCTGCTCTCAACACCAAAAAAGCAGCCCTTAAGCCTTGGCAAAGTCAGTGTAGCAAAGTAGATGACGAAGACTGGGTGAGTCCCCAGCAGGGAGATGGGATGATAAGTAGCAGTGGACATGATAACAGATAACACATAGAAGCAACAGGAAGCTAAGAGGAAACCAGCAAGAGGCTCTTCTGTGTTCCACCTTCAGCCATCAAGTTCAGCACTGTCCAGGTTGTTTGTTTCAACTGGTGATGAAATGGGGGTGAACCAGTCCATGAGCTTCCCACCTGTCACAGGACCCCACCATGTAGGCTGCGGGGATGTGATGGAGGGCCAGGGTCTCCAGGTAAGTCTCTCCAGCTCTGTCCCCACACATCTCCGCTGCTGCTTCTGCACCATGACTTGTCAGTAGCCAATCTGATGGTGTGATTCTCAGTGGGGGAAACTGAGTTAGAGCTGGTCTGGATTTGGTTATAGAGCCCCCAGCTCTGTCTTCCCTGACCTTTTTCTTCCTATTTCCAGTTAGAAACATCTCAGTAGTCAGAGATGGGTTCTTTTGCCACTAGGATGAAAGGGGGGCTCGAGCTCCAAAGGCAGGTCTCAGATCCCCTGTGCTGTCTTGGGAGCAGATGTCTTACCTGGAAAGGTTTTCAGTCTCATCTCAGTCTGAAGGTATGAGGAGGAGCAGTGAACCATGTGGTGGTGGCCTCTGACTTCCCAACCTGGGTAGGAAGACATGCTCCTCTTTCTCCTTTCCTGCCTTTATCTGTTTTTCCTCCTGCTTTGGTTCTGGACCTTCCCTCCACCAGTTCCTAGGTGCTTCTCTGCTGGCCCTTGGACTCCCATCTCTCTTCGAGAAGCACATACTTCATGTTAACCCCTCTCCTACTCCCATGTGAAACGAGTGTGCTGCTGCTTCCTAAGGGCCAGCCTAGACGACTGGCCTGGGTGACCCACTGATGCCACCCCATCCAGCATGAGGGCTGATCTCCTTCCCTGGGCCCCTTCAGGCCTGGGCTCAGGGACAGATTTAAATCTTTCTGATCCAAGGACTGAAAATATTTTGGTGCTCTCCAAACGTAATTTAAAATGCAGTCGGCTATTTGAAATAGCATAAGCCTTACGTGTACGCTAAAAATAATATTGCTTCTTTCTGGATTTTCTGAATGCAAAATTCAGGTATATGAATTGAAGCTTCAGTGCCCCACTTTGGTGGCTTACTTTGCTGGCCCCCCCAAATACCCACTGAGTGTGTCCTTTGGGAAATTCAACAGAGCTTAGGCTTCTTGCTCTGAGCAGTTGCTCTCTTCTTTCCTACAGGGGAGCTTCTTTCGACTCTTCTACCCCTGCCAAGAGTCAGAGGAGACCACCGAGCAGCCTCTGTGGATTCCCCGCTATGAGTACTGCACTGGCCTGGCCAATTACCTGCAGTTTAATAAGCGCTGGGGCGGGCTGCTGTTCAGCTTGGCTGTGGGTAAGTGCTGGCCTCACCCCCACATTTCCTAGCTTCTTGGTTATGTTCCTAGGAGATCCCTAGGTAGACACAGTACTGTCGTGCTGGCCTCACCCCCACATTTCCTAGCTTCTTGGTTATGTTCCTAGGAGATCCCTAGGTAGACACAGTACTGTCCTGCTGGCATCGTCCAGCCCTTTTGTTGTGGGGCGTGCATTAGTCAGTGTGGTGTGGAGAGTTGGGAGGGGATTATATACATAAGAGTTTTGGTTACAGAATTAGATTGTCCTGGATTTGAATCCCGACTTTATCGTTTACAGTTCTCTTTAGCTCTCCTCTCTGGGTAAAGTCACATTGAATCATTCACTTTCCCTAACGGCCCCACCAATTAGGAACTCTACCCAACAGCCTTGGCATCTCAGGGGTTTACCCCATAGTTGTTCAGTACTTCTTTGCATTTATCTTCCCATTTTCTATTATATTTGTGCTTTCTAGGGAAGAAAGGGTGAAAGAAAAGGTGATTGCCCTGGACTGCTCAGGGGCAAAAGGTAGTTCTCCAGTGAGGTGGGGCACATGTCCCCACCCATGCCTAGGCCAGGCTGCCCTTGGGATTACAACTTTGGGGCAGACAGAGATTCTACACCCTGTGTCTCTGCTAGGATCGTGTCGCCTGCCTGTTAGCTGGAACGGCCTGTTTAAGGCAAAGGACTCTGGATACCCCTTGATCATCTTCTCCCATGGCATGGGAGCCTTCAGGTAAGAGCTTCTATCCCTCAGACCTTGTCATATTCCTTAACTGGTGACAGCTGCTGAGTCTTAACTTATTCTCAGAGGGCAGAGACACAGACATTTCCATCTGCCAGCTGTCTCTTCTGCCATCTGCTTCATTCCGTAGCACTGGGTCCACCTTCCCCAAGCCCCCTTCACCTGGTGGAGTCTTTCATCGGGCTTCACATCCTTTGCTTCTCATGTTGCTGCATTTATAAATAAATAAACATAACTTATTTTACGTTTATATTCTATTTAAACATAAACACAAATAAACACTTTTAGCTCTCTGTGTAACAGCACGAGAAGTATTAGGAGTTTGAGCTTTATAGTCAAAGTCATTTCTTTGGTATCCATGGAGGGACAGCTCTGCCGTGGCACTGACCAAGCAGTAAGATGGGCTCACTCTCTGCATACCTGCAGCTCAGAGCCTCACCTGTGAGTCTCAGCCACCACCCCTGTGCTCCGTGTGAGTTCGGGACGGTTGTAGAACTCTTCAAGCCTGGATTTCATCGTTTGTCTGGTGGGAATGCTGCTCCCATCGCATGGTCTGTGAGGATTCGGTTAGACTGGTACTGAGTAAGCGTAAACACACACAGTTTTCTCGGTTTCTCTACGTGGAGGAACATGGGATGGTGAACATGGGATGATCTCTCTTACCAGACTTCGGGAAACTCTGCCTGATTTTTGTAAGGCCATATCCATTCCAAATTCTTGTGAATCCTGATTTCTGTACCTTGCTGTGTCTTAGAATTTAATAACTTTAGTCTATATGTTCCTGTTTAAATTTGTGAATATTCTGACTATACACATTCATTATCAACACATAAGTCTAGTTTATGTCCTAGAGTGTTACACATCTTAAAGGTGTCTGTTTTTGTGTCCCCACCCTCCAAGCCATTGTCCAGTCAGGGAGATCTTTTTGTTTTGCTTTTTTTTAAAAAAGATTTATCCATTTATTTGAAAGAGAGAGAGAGAGCATGAGTGAGCATGAGCGGGGGGTGGGGGGGTGGCAGAGGGAGAGGGAGAATCTCAAGCAGACTCCCTGCTGAGTATAGAGCCCAATGTGGGGTTTGATTCCAGGACCCTGAAATCATGACCTGAGCCCAACCAACTGAGCAACCCAGGTGCCCCCAGGGAGATCTGTTTTAATCTTTTTTTTTTTTAAGATTTTATTTATGTATTCATGAGAGACACACAGAGAGAGAGAGAGGCAGGCAGAGACATAGGCAGAGGGAGAAGCAGGCTTCACCTAGGGAGCCCGACCCGGGACCCCATCTCAGATCTCCAGGATCAGGCCCGCCCTGGGATGAAGGCAGCGCTAAACCGCTGAGCTCCCTGGGCTGCCCATGGGAGATCTATTTTAAAAGCAAATAGGGTCTTGTCATTTCAGCACCTAGAATAGTGCCTGGCAGATAGTAGATGCTTAGTAAATATTTGTTGAATAGATGAATGCACGTCACTTCCCTGCTTAGTCTTTGTAATCGCCCTTTGAGCTTAATACAGCTCTCAAAGTTTCCCACCTTGTTTCTTACTACTTACCAGCTCTCTAAACAAACTGACCTTTTGCTTCCATGAAGGCACTATGTTATTTTCTGCCTCAGTGTTTTTATCTGTGCTGTGTTTTGTGGCTATTCCGTTTGCCTGGAATATTTGCCATTCTGCTCCTCTCTTCCTCCCGTGCTTTCCACTCCTTCATCTTTGCCTAACTAATTCCAAATTACCCACAAGGTCTTACTTTGGGTATGACTTTCTTAGGGACACCCATCCTGGCCTCTGTATTATGTTAGTTCAAGTTTTCCAGTGATGTGCTTTCATAGGCTAACCTATACTTTCCAGTACTTACCATAATTGTAATGAATTAATTACATGTGTGATTATTCTTTAGGGTTTATCTTTCCTACTGGATTGTCAGCTCCATGAAGGCAGAGCCCTTGTCTGTCTGCTGTCTCTTCCAGTGCCTAGGACAATGCCTGGAAAATAGTAGTTTCCCAAAGAATATTTTTTAAGGGCTATGTTTTGCTAGGTTCTCATTCATTTAGCAGATATCTTTTGGGCACCTATTCTGTGCCAGCTGTGTGGCATGAGAAGGTGAGTTCTGTGGAGATAAACAAATCAAGGAATTGCATCCACTAGGGGAGGCTGACTGTGAACTCACATAACTACTCCATGGCAGGAGAGTAAATGCAAAGATAAGGCCAGCAAAACAACTAGATGGTTTTCAATGTTGCTCTTATTCAGTAAATTTAATACATGCCATATGCTGAGGCCTATGCTGGGGTTGTGTATTCACTAGGGACTAAGATAGAATGCCTGCCTTCAGAAGGACTGTAGTCTAGCAGGAAAAAGAAATAAGAAACATTCTCTCCTAAGCTCACAGCTATTTTATACAGAGAGCAGGTGAGAACATGACTTGGGAGAGTGGTCTTTTTGGTCTAAGAATCTGTATGGAGACTTCACATCTCAATTAACCTGGGTAAGCCAGTTATAAATACACTTCATTAACCAAAATGAAATTCCAAGAAAAAGGACAGGGAGGGAAAGGGATATGGTTTCCTCTTGTTGTATATGTGGTTAATTCAGAATCTGAAATCTTTGTAGACCTACGAGTTCCCACTCCAGGGAGGAGTATGTGCATTTAAATGTTACCTGTCTGCAGTGTACTATTGTTCCTTTGGTTTCCACATAGTCCTGTGAGGTCAGTGGTGAAGGATGCTTGTTTTACAAATGACCAGAAGGGCTCTAAAAGGCAGACTTGCCCAAGGTTATACACTTTGAACGGGGAAGGGATCAGAGATCTCTCTGGTTCTTGTGTCCAGTTCACTGCCTCCCTTGGGGAAGTGAGAGAAGGTGAAAAGAAATTTAATGTCTGTCCTTTCTGACCTTCCTGAATCAGTTAAGATACAGGCAAGTTGTATTAACAGGAAAACCCCAAACAATAGTGGCCTAAGCAACATAAGATTTCTTTCTTGCTCAGCTAAAAGAAAGCTGGTGGTAGACAGAGATGATATGGTACTTCCACAGAATTACCAGAGAACCAGACTTCTTTTACCACCTTGCTCTGCCACATGTGGCTTCCATTTTCTAAGGCTATCTAATGACCTTGGGTATCTGGTCTAGCTCCTGCCATTACATCTACATTCCAGGCAGTAGGAAAGGAGAACTCTTCTGAAAGTTTTTGTTTTTATTTTTTCTGAAAGTCTACACAACACAATTGCTTCTAGTCCCAATGACTAGAGCTGCTCTGTTCATTAGAGTAGTTTCTAGCCGCATGTGGCTATTGAACATTACAAATACAGCTGGTCTAAACTGAGATGTGCTGAAGTATTTTTTTTAATTATTTATTTATTTATTCATGAAAGACATAGAGAGAGAGAGAGAGGCAGAGACACAGGCAGAGGGAGAAGCAGGCTCCTTGCAGGGAGCCCAATGTGGGACTCAATCCTGGGTCTCCAGGATCATGCCCTGGGCTGAAGGTGGTGCTAAACTGCTGAGCCACCCGGGCTGCCTGAGATGTGCTGAAGTAAAGGATACACACTGATTTCAAAAACTTCATATGGAAAAAAAAAAACTTAATAAAATATTTTATTCATTCAGACATTCTTTTTTTAAAGTATTCTCTATACCCAGTGTCGGTCTCAAACTCATGATTCTGAGATCGAGAGTCAGATGCTGGGCAGCCTGGGTGGCTCAGCAGTTTAGCGCCACCTTCAGCCCAAGGCCTGATCCTGGAGACCTGGGATGGAGTTCCATGTCAGGCTCCCTGCGTGGAGCCTGCTTCTCCCTCTGTGTCTCTCTCTCTCTCTGTGTCTCTCATGAATAAATAAATAAAATCCTTAAAGAAAAAAAGTCAGATGCTCTACTGACTAAGCCAGCCAAGTACCCCTAGTTCAGACATTTTAATCACCTGTTAAAATGATAATGTTTTGGCTCTATTGAGTTAAATAAAATATATTATTAAAGTTGATTCTACCTGTTTTTTTAACTTTAAAAATGTATTTACTAGAGAATTTTAATTACTTATGGGAGCAGCATTATATTTCTATTGCTGGGCTAGAACTTAATCTCACTGATAAACCGGGGTGCAGGAGAGGCTGGGAAATGTCATAATCGATGCCATAACTCTATCTTCGTCTGAAAATCAGATTCTGCTACTAAGGAGGAGAGAAAAAAGTGTTTGGGCAGTTAATAGTGTCTGCCATATTCCTTTTTTTCTGAGAAGTTGGAGGACAGACAAAATTCACATGTTAAATCACAGGTGCATATTTGCATATTACAGAAATAGCCAGAGTGCCTGTCTTCAGAAATGTGACCAACTAATTTGGAGGATGTACCATAATATATAGACGATAGAAATGCAATTGTGAAAGAAGCCAAATCGTATTGGGGGTGGGTGGAGGAGATGAGTCAAAAGTTCATGTGGGGTTAAAAACACGAGGGATTGATTTACACTTGCTTCTTGGAGCCCTGTGAGACAAGTGGTGTACTGACCAAAGAAGACACCTTGAGGAGGGCTGCTGCAAATGAAACTTCCTCCAGTCTTTTGAGATGGTCACTAGCAGAGCATGATTGGAATGGGAGCTGCAGGGGGGGCACGATTCTTTAGACCACTTCTCTCTGTTCCTTCATTCATCTCTAGGACGCTGTATTCAGCCTTCTGCATGGAGCTGGCCTCCCACGGCTTTGTGGTTGCTGTACCAGAACACAGGTGAGAGGGTGACAGCCCTAACAAACTATCATGGATATGGGATATATCCTAGGACATAGGCTAGTTCCTTATCGACATATTATTTCTAATTTTCACTACTCATTTTAAAGGTGAGGAAATCAGCGGGATCTCTGGATGGCTCAGCGGTTTAGTGCCTGCCTTCAGCCCAGGGCGTGGTCCTGGAGTCCCCAGATCGAGTCCGACATCAGGCTCTCTGCATGGAGCCTGCTTCTCTCTCTGCCTATGTCTCTGCCTCTCTCTCTGTGTGTCTCTCAAGAATAAATAAATAAAATATTTTTTTAAAAAAAAAAAAGTGAGGAAACCAAAGTTCAAAGGTTTCTTGCTGGAAGTGACACAGCTGAGTTGGGGTTCAAACCCAAGTTGGTCTTCAAAATCCATTTTTTCTCCTCTCCTCTGTATGCCCCCCATATCTTTCTGCCTGCTAGGCAAAAGGGGATCCAGAGTGTCTTGGTGGAAATGGAGGATTTGGTAAAGGGGAAAAATAAGCTGAAAAATGTCTTTGAGTTTCTCTGGTGGCATGTGTATTTCAGGGATGGGTCGGCTGCGACCACCTGTTTCTGTAAGCAGGCCCCGGAGGAGAGCCAGGCCACTAATGAGTCGCTGGAGGAGGAATGGATCCCTCACCGACAAATTGAAGAAGGGGAGAAGGAATTCCATGTCCGGAATTGCCAGGTAGGCTTGTGCCAGTTGGGGAGGGAGAGTTGATAAGCCTCTCTTCCGTATACTACAGTCACTAAGAAGACTTGTAACTAACCTTCTGTCCCGCAATCTCACTTATAGAGGGTCTGAGCTTGCCACATCAGAGAAATGGTGTGTTAATCAAGACTCTAAATGATTATAGGTGACAGAAACTCAATTTAATCTTGTTAGGGGATCCCTGGGTGGCGCAGCGGTTTGGCGCCTGCCTTTGGCCCAGGTCACGATCCGGGAGATCCGGGATCGAATCCCACGGCTTCTCCCTCTGCCTGTGTCTCTGCCTCTCTCTCTCTCTCTGTGACTATCATAAATAAGTAAAAAAAAAAAAAATAATAATAATAATAATAATCTTGTTGGGCAAAAGAGAGGTTTGACTGGCTTATACAGGCAGATTAGAAGAAGAGCAGGACCACTGGAGCCAGACTCCAATACCATCTCTCTCTCTCATCTCTGTCTCCTCTGCTGGTTGATCTTATCTGCAAACTGGCTTACCTTGTGAGGTTAGACCACAGCTCACTCTCTCTCTCTCTCTCTTTTTTTTTTTTTAAGATTATTTATTTATTTGAGAGAAAGAGAACGTGATTGGGGAAAACAGTAGAGGGAGAAGCAGACTCCCTCCTGAGCAGGGAGCCCAACGTGAGGCTCGATCCCAGATCCCCAGGACCCTGACATCATGACTTGAGCCAAAGGCAGACACTTAACTGACTGAGCTACCCAGGTACCCCATAACCACAGCTCTTGACAGACTGAGTTTGCATGTTTGACCTCACCACCTGAAAGAATAGGGGTGTTTGGGGGTCATCCCCTAGTCGCCACACCTGCCTCAAGCTGCACTGTGAAAAATCCTAGAGGGAGGCTCCTAGGCCGTGAGGAAGTACCCAAATGAGAAATTCTCATCAGAAAGACATTGATAGATTTGAGGAGGGCATAGTCCTCAAAAGTCAGGGATAATGAGTGAAGTGGGGGCAGGTAAGTACTAGGCAGACGAAAACAATAGATGTGTACTACAAGTAGGCAAGTAGAAACCAGTACTGGGTTTATAAAAAAATACTCTTATTCCTTTTGTGGTTCAAGGTACATTCATATATGTTGTCTTATTGGGTCCTCCTGACTCCCCCATGGGGAAGTGGGTAGAGTCTGAGTAGTAGTGCCAACTCAACTCTCAGCAGTTAGGTGAGCTGCTCGGAGGTTGCTGAGTCTTTCTCAGGATGTGGAGCCCACAGTGCTTGCTGAGATAGAGGTGGGCAAACTATCCCTGCATCCTTCCTTGGCTCTGTTGGAGAGTTAGACTCTTGTTGAATGGTTGTGTCACATTCTAGCTCCCACCACCATTGTCTCTGTTGCAGGTGTATCAGAGGGTAAGCGAGTGTACTCGGGTGTTGAGGATCCTGCAAGAGGTCACTGCTGGGCAGATTGTTCTCAACATCTTGCCTGATGGGTTGGATCTGACGACTTTGAAGGTATGGTAGCAATTGGGATGACCTGGAGCACATGGATTCATCAGGACTTTTTTGGTTACAAATCATAGAAACCTAACTCATTAGCTTAAACCGAAAGACAATTTATTGCCTCAAATAAGTCGGAAGACCAAAGACTTCAGGCCAATGTAGCTAGATCCAGGGTCTCAGACATTGTCATCAAAGTTCTGGCACTCCCTCTTCCTTCTTCTGGCTCAGTTCTACTCTGTGTGTGTGGGCTCCCTTCTTACCATATTCTCTCCATTAGGCAAGAAAGATGGTTGCTGGCAGCCCAAGCCTGTATTTCCACTCTCTCCAAATGTAAAAGGAAAAGAGACTCTGTTGGCTTCCACTAGTCTGGGAAAGCTGTGGCCCTGCTTGGGTTACATGTCCCTTCTGGACCCATCACTGTATCAGAGGGACAGGGTATTCTGATTGGCCTGCCTATGTTCTACACACACTTCTGGGTCAGGGGAGCCTGAGCACCAGGAACTGGCATCCCAAAAGGTCCACATGGAGAAAGGAAAGATGGTTTGTTCCCCAAAGGAAGGTGTGTTAGGCAACAAACAACCTGTGTCTGTAGCAGGCTAATTCCTAACTTGGAGAGAATCCTAAAATTCCTCCCAGAAGGGTAGAAACTGTCCCAGCTATGGGATTTGATACCCATGAAGAGACATTCCCAACCCCTGATCTTTTCCACCTAATTTCAAAAGTAGCTCAGGCTCTATTTAGAGAACCAAGAAATCACACAAAAATGTGAAGAAAAAAGTTTTTTACATTTTGATGTTTGTCTTTCCAGTTCCTTTAAAGTGTTCAACACATACGTATATGTTTTTAAAAACAATAATGTGATCACTTTAATACAAGCTGTTTTGTGGCTCTTTTTTTTCACTTAGCATAATAGTCTGAATGGTTAATATTTTTCTATGGCATGACTTTTAATAGCCATGTCATATTCCATTGCATGAATGAGAATGGTATGTGTGTGTGTACATTTATATACACAAATATATATAAAATAGCAATTACTACTCTCTGTGTACCATGATAAGAGTACCTCATACAAACTTACACAGCAAGCACTATTAGCTCTCTACATAGAAAGAAATGAAGGATCAAAGAGGCTAAGTATCTACCCAAGGTCACATAGCTAAGTAAGTGGTAGACTTCAAACTGGGACTTTTTGTTCCCAAAGCCTATGCCGTTTGCCCCAAAGCCTTGTTAGAAAATGCCTTTTAAAGGCTCCGGTCGAGTTGAGGCCATCCAGGGCAAAGTACCTGCCTGGATGGCCAGTTGGGAAGGCAGACATCTAAAGCACTTTAACAGCTATTTGCTGTGTGCCACCAGCTCCCAGCAGACAAGCAGGGACCCAGGCACTGAAGTGCAGGGCTGCATGCCTGGGATCCTGAGGCAGGCATTGGGCAGGCAGGAGTTTAGTTGGATTATTTTATTTTGGAGAAATATAGGATAAAAACAGCTCTAAGAACATTTTCACCTCTCAGATTAAGATCAGAAAATTATTCACTCCTGTTGGCAAAGCTATGGGAAAGTAGATATTCTGCTGTGTTGCCCATGAGAGTCCAGATTACCCCATGCAGGACAATTTGGCAATAGCTATCAACAGTACAAATGTGCATATTCTTTGACCCAGCAATGTGCAGTTCTGGGAATTTATTCTATAGATATCTGTACACGTGCAACATGATATATGTATAAGGTTATTCATTCCTCTGTTGTCTTTCACAGCAAAAGATTGGTAGTATCCTAAGTGTTCTTCAGTAAGGGAAATGGTTTAATAGATTATGAAACAATGTACGTAATCGTTTTGATAATGCTAATTGCTGTAACTCATAAGTTCCAAATCTCAGTAGTTTAACACAGTAGAAATTTACTTCTCTCCCACATAAAGTTGAAAATGGATACTCCTCTGCAAAGAGTGACTCAGGGATCCAGGCTCCTTCCAGCTTATAGTTCTACCCTCTTCTACTTGTGAAACCCAACTCCACTGTGTGCATTAAGCCAGGAGTGGGGAAAGGTGTGGAGGTTTATACGAAACACTCTTTATGGGCCAGGCCCTGGAAGTGGAGATCTTGCTTTCACGCTCATTCTGTTGGCTAGAACTCAGTTCCAAGGGCACATCCAACTGCTGAGAAAGAGTCTAGCTGTATGTCCAGAAAGAAGAAAGACAGATTTGGTGATTAGCCAGTTGTCTACGCCATGGGGAAACCAGATGTAACTGTAAAGAAAGATAAGGAAGGTCTTTATGTAAACTAATATTATTATTCACAAAGGTAAGTTTTGTGTAAAAAGTGGATGTGTAGATTCACATTTACCTGTCTGTGCATAAGTAAGCTCTGCAAAGACACTGAAGAAACTTACCCATTTGGGGGTAGGTGTTGGGCAGCTGTGTGGAAAGGGAATGTGGTACGTGGGTGACTTCACTATATACTCCCAATTTTCAAGGTATATAAATATATTGGCCTATTAAAAAAAGCTGAAGTGGCCATCAACCAAGTTGTTGGTCTGAAGATACTAAGCAAATGGGGAGAATTTAGATACAGAGTCTTAGGATAGAAATTGGGGAGAGCACAGGTTCAGGGCAGACGCTGGGCCGCAAAGGCCAGAGAGATTTCCCTGGAGCCCCTCAGCAGGTGGCTGCAGTGGCTTCTTATATAACCGTGCCCTGAAGGCTTCTGGGGACAATTAGAAATAGCTACTTACAAAGCATGGAGGAACAAGCAGACTCACTCTGGTGGATCAAAGTCAGAACAGATACCCAGAGGAAGTAGAACCAGAGTTTGTTTTTGCATGAGCGGCCTTGCTTCAGTGGAAAGTGGACAGGCAGCGTGAGTTTCCCATTCTGTCTTTGACTTGGTGTCTCTGTCACCCTGTTGGAGCAACTGTAAGGGATCTAGAGATAGGAGACATTTCTTGTTCCCAGTGTGCTCTGACATGGATGGCTCTGTATGGAATCACATCATTTAGACCTATTCATTTATTCATAGATATTTGGATGTCTCCCCTGGTCCAGGTATTACAGGTGGTATGATTACAAAAACAGAGATGAAAAACATAGTTTTCAGAATTCCTGACTGCAGAAAGTTGTTCAGCTTGGAGAGCAAGAGGTTCTTACTATGCAGGCAGGAGCTCACCCGCTGTATTGTGCTTCTGCATCATTGTCTCACTCTTTGCCTCTTGCCTCTGAATTCCTGAAAGAGCAGTCATGCATTTCTGATTTGGTTCAGTTCTCTGCTTTCCTCAGGGCAGCATCAACATGAGCTGCGTGGCTGTGATGGGACATTCATTTGGCGGGGCTACAGCTCTATTGGCTTTGGCCAAGGAGACCCAGTTTCGGTGAGTGTCCCAACGATGCTTATGTGAGCTCTGCACACCATTCATTCATCTAGCAAATATTTGTCACACAAGTGTTATGTGGCAGGCACTGGTTTGGGAGCTAGGGATTCCATGGTGAACAAAAAAATAAGGTCTCTGATTTCATAGAGTTACGTTATTTTGGGAGGAGACAGGCTAGTGAACAACTAGCAGCCAAATACCCAGCACTCAGATGCAGGGAAGAAAATAAACTAGGCTGATATACTGGAGTAATTGGAGGTTTCTTTAAGAAAATGACATAAGCCAAGGCTTATAAAGAAGCCAACCATATGAAGGTCTAGGGAAAGATAATTCTGGGCCGAGGGAACAGCTAATGCAAAAGCCCTGAGGTAGAAAGAAACTTGCTTTTTCAGTGTGGGAGAGGCATAGTGAGTGAGGGGGAAGTAGTTCAAGATATGGTCAGAGAGATAACATGGGCTAGATCACATGGCCTTTTGGCCAGAGTAAGAGAGTTCAGTTTTATTCCAGTATGATGGGAAACCACCAAAGTATTTTAAGCAGAAAAAAATCCTTTTTTTAAAGTTTTTATTTATTCATTTATCTAATCGCTACGCCCAGCATGGAACTCAAACTCATGACCCTGAGATCAAGAGTCACATGCTCCTCTGACTGAGCCAGGCAGGTGCCTCGAGAAAAGTTTTATTTACAGTTTAAAAGATCCCTCAAGGGGGCACTTGGGTAGCTCAGTGGGTTAAGTGCCTGACTTGATCTCAGCCCAAGTCTTGATCCTCAGGGTCATGAGTTCAGGCCCTGCATTGGACTCCACACTGGACAGGGAGCCTACTAAAAAAAAAAAAAAAAAAAGAAAGAAATTAAAAAAACAAATAAAAGATCCCTCTGGCTACTGTATGAAGAGTGGCTTGTAGCAGGACAAGACTGAAAAACAGGAGGCTACTTAGAGGAAGGCTATCTCAGTCAAGGGCAGAGGTGATGGATTTGCATTAGGATGGAGAGAGAGAAATTGAGTCATGATATGTTTTAGAATTTTCAGGACTTGGTGACTTATAAGGTGAAGGAAAGAGAGGAGTCAGGTTTTTCCTTTTGGTAAGGAGATGCTTGTCTTTTATTGAGGTGAAGAATGGAGGAACCCAGGGTGGGGGAGAGGTGCTAATCTTGGGGCCTTAGTTTTGCCCCAGGAGACAGATTACTGCTTGACACACTGGCCATGTGTTTGATCTGTGACCTCCCATCCACATATGCTGTGGTCTCACATAGTTCCTTATGCAGTCAGGGCACTAAGCTCTGTTTTGTTCCCTTTTCTGTTCTGTCTCCCCTTCTAAACTGGGAGCTCCTTAAAATCAAGAACCGTGTCACTTATCCCTGTATCCACAGCACAGGGCTAAGCACATAGAAGGTACTCAATGAATGTTGAATGAATAAAATGCCTTCTGAGCAACCTAAGTCAGCTGCCTGAGAGTAGACCCAGGAGAAGATCTGATCCTTGCTGTCAGTGAGTTTGAGATCTAAAAGGATCTGGAGTACGTGGCTTGCTCTGTCAGTAGAGCATCCGACTCTTGATATCAGAGTTGTGAGTTCAAGCCCCATGTTGGACGTGGAGCCTACATTTAAAATAATAATAATTAATTAGTTAATTAATTAAAATCTAGAATGATCTTTGGTGACAGATAAAAGTGATCTCTATCCAAGATCCTAACTGAAGGACCTGGGCTCTGGTAACCCCTTCTTGGCTTTCTGAGCCTTTGTCCCACAGAAGGGAAGAGCCCTGGCACTTCCCCCACTGGCTTAACTATTTTTGCCTGGATTTCTGTATGGCAGTTCCAATTGTCTGGTTCTGTCACAGGTGTGCTGTGGCTCTGGATGCTTGGATGTTTCCCCTGGAACATGACTTTTACCCCAAAGCCAGAGGTCCTGTGTTTTTTATCAATGCTGAAAAATTCCAAACAGTGGAGAGTGTCAACTTGATGAAGAAGATATGTGCTCAACATGAACAGTCCAGAATCATAACTGTGCTGTGAGTAAGCCCCAGGATCATCACCCCCAGTGTCCTCTCCATTTGCTACTCAGCAGTGGCTCTCTTAATTTCTTCTAAATTATCTGTAAGTTCTACCCATTAGTTCAATACTTAAATTCTTCCTGAGGTGCAAAGTCTTAATTCCTTTAGGATTTCATATCTGTCCTTCTCTGCTATGACTTGATGACAGAATTTACCTGTTGCTTTCTGGGAAAAGGGTATTGTGGAGATTGTAAATTGGAGAGAGAAAGTATGGGTCTGGATGGACTCCAGAGATCCATAACCTCATTTGGGAATTTTATTGAACCTTTTGAAGAGTGTAAATATAATAGACTCTTTTTTTTTTAAGATTTTATTTATTTATTCATGAGACACACACACACAGAGGCAGAGACACAGGCAGAGGGAGAAGCAGGTTCCCTGCAGGGAGCCCGACGTGGGACTCGATCCCGGGCCTCCAGGATCACACCTGGACCGAAGGCGGCAGTAAACTGCTGAGCCACCTGGGTTGCCCTATAATACTCTTGACATTCACAAGATAGACTTTTGGAGACCTTGAATACCTCAATTCAAATTATCTTCCTTAAACCATCAATATTCTGCCCAAGATAAACCATATTCTCTTCACTTCCATTCCTAGCACTAACAGATGGGAGTCGTTTATCACAGAAAGAAAATTTGGAGTGATCTTCAGATAAGTACTGTAATTTGGAAGTGCACAGAGTTCAGGCCTAGGGCTAAAGGCTCACTGACCAGTCTGTGACTTTCTTCTGCCCTACACTCGAGCCTGGCAGAGCTGAGCAACACATGTGTTAAGGATCCCAGGTCCTATTTCAGCAAAACAAGTAACTATATGTCATGGACTTTTGGAATCATCTCTGGTAGTTGAAATGCTAAATCCAAAGCCCTGGAATGCTAGGAGTCTTCTCAGTAGTCAGTACTTCTTCCCTTGCTCATCTTGGCTAGGCTCACTTCCTTAGCGCCAGCCCTCCCCTGACCTTTTGATCTCTTGGCAGCAGAGGACTGCTTGACAGTTTCCCCAGGCCACTCAGATTGAGGGTAATGCTGACCTCTGGAGGGAAGGGAGGTGAGAACAGCTGGGAAGGAGCATCCAAGGGTGATTTAACTATTAGCAGTGTATTACTTCTTTTTTTTTTTAATAATATTTTATTTGAATTCAATTTACCAACATATAGTATAACTTCTTAACCTGAGCACTGGATACTCAAGTATCCATTACATTATTCTTTACACTTTTTCATGTGCGTTAAACAATACATTTTTTTTTTAAAAAGTCAGTTTATCTGCTGGATACCAACCAAATGTTAGCATTTAGATTTCTTCCCTCATTGAATTAAGTAGTAAATTTAGTTGTAATAGTCCAAAATGAACCTAGTGAGAATTGCACTTTTGAATTAAATGTATTTGATATCAAAGAACTTAAATTCTAATCCAGAAACCCATCTTTTATAAATAAGTGTTTGCACTTACTTTTCTGATTACTTGGGTACAGGCAGGTGATTCCTTTTCCTGTTTACTTTGTGGTACAGTTCTAAAGAAGAAGAAGCTGATGTTTTGTGAATGTTCAGAAGTCACCAGGAAAAAGCCATGGTGCAGTAGTTGATAACACAGAGGAATGGCAGGTGTGACAGGTCCCTCCTCCTCACCCTGTGTCCGCCCCCTCCAGCTAACTCAGCCTTTCTCTGCACTGTCAGATGTTGTGTTCTAGGGGTTGAGGCAGCTTTGAAGCTAGGCACACCTGCATTGTGATGAAAATTCAGTGAGCTAATGCATGCAAAGCCCCTTGTACATGGTAGATGCTTAGCAAATATTTGTGTGCCCTGGCCTCCAGACCCTGATCAGTCATTTGTTTCTCTTTTCCTCTAGTGGTTCTGTTCATCGGAGTCAAACTGATTTTGCTTTTGTGGCTGGTAACTGGATTGGTAAATTCTTCTCCACTCAAACCCGTGGGAGCTTGGACCCCTATGAAGGTCAAGAGATTATGGTGAGGGCCATGTTGGCCTTCCTGCAGAAGCACCTTGGTAAGGAGAGGACTGGAGTTTGTGGGCAGCCTTGGGGGGGGGTCCCTTAGATTTTCCTACTAGTGGCCTATACTACCACTTGGGGATCCCTTAGATTTCCTGTTAGTGGCCTATACTACTACCATGTCCCAGAGCAGGAAGATTTATGGCAAAAGGAAAGCCTGAATAAAGGAGAGAATTGCATAGAGTTGTAGAAAGAACACTTAGCTGAAAGTTTGGAGACGCTGACTCTGTCTCTTACTACCCAAATGACCTTAGCTGATTCATTTAACTTACAAGTCTTGGTTTCTTCAGTGTAAATGGAACTTTCATCTCTCTCCCTCCTCCATTACCTTCATCCTAACTCCTTGCCACTCACCTCATCTATACCGCAGAGCAGGTTATGATGATAAATGGGCTAAATTTGTAGAAGTGCTTTAAACAAAATAAATCGTGGAAAGCTTATGGCTAGCATCATATGTCACAGACCAGCTAAATGGCAAGGTCTGTAGAGGTCTTTGTTCTAGCCTTCCACCCAGAGCAGATCTCCTCTTCCTTCTTCCCTGCCACACTATCAAGCAGCATGGAGTGTGCTGCTATGAGGGTTAGCCCTCTCTGCCTCTCTGTTTTAAGAATGATATTCTAAATAGGCTTTTTTTCCATTACAAAGACTAGAGATTCACTCATTTACCTTGAGATAAGAAGGAGAGTTTGTTTTTGAAAGTATATCCACCATGTGGGAAGTGAAGTTACAGGAACCAAGATAACTTACAGGACTGATCTCTCTCTCTCTCTCTCTCTCTCTCTCTCTCTCTCTCTCTCTCTCTCTCTCCCTCTCTCTCCCTCTCTCTCCCTCTCTCTCCCTCTCTCCCTCTCTCCCTCTCTCCTCTCTCATGGGCTCCATCCCTGTGTCTCTTCCTCTCATGACATCTCTGTATCTCTTGCCCTCTGGTCTGTATTTTTCTTCTTCTCTACTCTAGTTTTTCTCTTGGTGCTAGCATCTGCTTATTCATAGTTACTGGTTCCCTATCGCTTCAGTTGGCTCGAACCATTCATGGATTGGTCTCTCTACCTTGTGGCATCCTTTCATCTCTGATTCCCACTGCTCGTGGCCATATTCTCTTGGATTTCCCAAAATTCCCAAGAGAGACAACTTTATTCTCCCAGCCCGCCTTTACCTAACAACACGTTGTAGGCCACTGCCCAACCTAGGCCCGGGGCTCTCTTGACCAGATGTCCCTTTCTGACCCAGCCAGCATGGCTGAGGCTACCATTGTTTGCCCCAGACTGATCCCTTGGCAGTGCTGGGTATAGTGCAGTTTCCTTCAGAAGGGGACCAGGCTGCCTTGAGTTTTGAAGGTCACTTAGCTCTAGCCCAATAGCAAGATCTGATTCTTTCTAATTCTCTGCATGTCCTGATTGTCCTGAGGGGACAAGAACTCCCCAAGGAGGTCTCAGACCCCTTGCAGCTCTTTGGATACTCCCACTGGGGCAGTTCCCCATATTGCCATTTATTATCCCCTCTGGATACACTCTTTGTCAGGGTGTTTCTTGAGATGTAGTGCCCTGACTTGGACATAACTTACTAGAGGTGGTATAGCAAGATTGTCACCTCTGTGCTCTGGACACCAGCCTCTTAGTTGCATGGCCTGAGTGCATTAACAGTTCCAAAATTGCCTAACAAATATATTTTAAAATATATTTGTTTTAGTATGAATGTATTGACTATTTTAACCTAAATTTGCATTTTGTATGCCTGTTCATTTCATCTTGCTCATTGTGAGCCTTTCTGCCAGCCTGGATTTAGAGACTTTAGGGTTACTAGAGACTTTAGAGCATCACCCCGTCACCTCGTAGGAGAGGAATGGATCCGTGACTCTAGACTTCATTGGGGACTGACTACATGGTCCTCGGCCCACTTGCTCTGTTAACTATTGGCATCATGTCATTAGGTAAGAGCTAAAGATGACAGGGGAGCCCACCATAGCATGATGGGGCGGGCTGCCTTTAGTAGCAATGTCTGTTGAGCTAATATACTCATTGCTGGAGACCAGCAGAGGAGGAGATGAAAAGGAGAGTCTTCGACTATAGGGAGATTTTTGAGAACTTGCTTTATGTCAGGCCTTCTGCTAAGTACTTTAGATTCACCATCACATGTAATCCTGAAAATAGACCTGTCTAGTAGGTACTTTTATTCTTAACTCTTATTTTATAGATGAAGATATGAACCTTAAGAAATTTAAGTAATTTGTCCAAGGTTATCTGATTCCTAAGTGGCAAGGCCAGCATGTAACCTAAATTGTCTGATTCCAAAGCCCATAGATTTAGTGATGCCCTGTTCTGCCAGTGACTCTGATGACCTCAATATGCACTCAGTGTTGAGGAGACACAGACAGCAGGTACCTAGCGGATGGAAGGGAAAGAACAGCCTAAGAGAGGAGGCTCCCTGGACAAAGTGATGCTTGTCTTTAATCTTAACAGATGAGTATAGTTCACCAGGGAAGGGGCAAGGTCTTCTAAACAGAAGGCACAGTGGCTTGTGTGGTCAGTTTTGAGAAACTGTTTAGTGTATCTGGCACTCAGGTTATTGAGTTGGTGGAACATAAAGGCAGAGAAGTGGGCAGAAGCCAGATGTTTGCTGAAATGACTGTGGATTATATTTCATTGGCCAGGAGAATGTCATGATTAGACTTGTGTGTGCGGTCCAGCTGCATAATGGAGGACTGGCGATGGGCCTGTCTGAGAGGCTGAGGGCCCCAGTCGGAGGCTCTCATGTAACCAGGCAAGAAGAGATGAGACAGTCTGAAAAGGCAGACTTTCCTCTTGGGGCAGTTAGCTTGGCAAAGGGAAGCATTTTGGTGGCCACATGGTACATTATCACCCGGGAAACTAAAATGGATTGTAGTGAGCTGTACCTCTCACCACTCCTAAAAATACCTCTGGGAGCATATCTGCCACTGACCCAGGGAAGTTCTTTCTTTTCTATTAAAGAGATTGGCGCTTCTGTAGGCACCTTCTGTCTATCTATTCGTCCTCTCTTCTGATCTCTCTTCTCCTTTCTCTGCAGACTTCTGACACCTTCCCCTCCCCTGTCTCTCAGCTGATGAACTTCACCTCCCTTGTCACTGGAAGGTGGAAGGAGTCAGTACTTCCTCAAAATCCTAGTGCCTCATCTGTCCACCTTTGTGAAGGTGCTTACCCCCGTATCTGCTTACTGTTTCCCAGTCAGTTGTCTAAGGCCAGCCCTTCTACCCTCTTCCGTGGACTCAAGCTGATGGTGCCAGCAATTTTTTCCTCTTTATCTTCAGTCATCAATTTGTCTCTCTCTACTTGGTTAGTTTCACCCTGAAATTTCTCTTCAAAGACCCCTCTCTTGACCCCACTTTCCCTTCTAGTTATCACCCCATTTCCTTGTTCCTCCTAACAGCAAAACTTCTCAAAAGAAGGTCCATCTTTCCTTTCTCTGTTCTTCTCTTTACATTCTCTCTTAAACCCACTCCAGTCAGGCTTTTGCACCCCAGTTCCCCATGAAAATTGCTTCTGGCAGTGAGGCCTGTGACCCTCATAGGCCTCAAATCTGGTGGTGAGTTCTCATTCCTCATCTGCTGGGGCACTTAGCAGCTTCTGACAGTCAGTGACACCCTCCTCTGTGAAACCCTGTGTTCACTTCTAGGACACCCCACTGTGGGGTTTCTCCCATCTTGACGTCTGCTCCTCCTCAGTCTACTTTACTGCTCCCACTGCTCAGGGCTTACACCTCTTCTCTATCCATACCCCCTGATGTCATCCATCCACTCTTGTGGCTTAAAACACCGTCTCAGGCTGCTATACCCACTCCCTGCTATATACCTTCAGTTTGATCTCTCTTGTGAACATCAGATTTGTATAACCTACCACCAATGTTTCTCCTTCCAATAGACATCACCAACAAAACCCGATTCCGAATTATTCAAGCTGACATCATTATTTTCTCTGCTCTCACATCCCCTTTCCAGTCCCTCAGAAGTCCTCTTGGCTCCACCTTCAGACTACGTATGGAATCTCATCGCTTGTCCTCACCCCCATGACTGCTATCCTGTCCCAAGTCCTTTCTCACTGTTCTTGCCTCTCTACATGGTCTTTTCTTAATCGAGAGGCCAAAATGATCCTGATAGAAAGTAAATCAGATCTCTCATGCCTGTGTTCAGAGTTCTCTGGTAGCTCCTCATTTCTCTGAGTGTCAAAGCCAACGTCCAGTGTCCTGTGGGGCTGATATGATACACCCTCGGTCCCTCCTGCCCCTTTCTGCTGCTCCTCCCCAGGCCACCTTCAGTGTTGTTGTACGAGCCTCCAGCACTCCAGACATACCCCCTTCAGGGCCTTTTTACTGCTCTTCCCTCTGCCTGGGAGACTATTCCATTTAGTCCCATGGGTTCTTCCCACTTCTGTAAGTCTTTGTGCAACTCTCACCTTAGTGAGGCCCACTCTGACCACCCTTTTTATTTTAGTTGATGTATTTATTTAAGTAATCTCTATACCAGTTTGGGGCTAGAGCTCATGACCCTGAGATCAAGAGTCAGACTCTCTTGTAACCGAGCCAACCAGGTGCCCCTGACCACCCTTTTTAAAACATTGTACCTTCCCTTCCACCCCTCATCCCCATTTCCCAGGCACCACCACTGCTTCTCTTATGTGGCTCCATTTTTACCTGTAGCACTTATCACCTTTTCCCATCCTATATAATTTATTGTGTCTATTGTTATCTCTGCCTTCTAGATTATGAGCTCTGTGAGGATAAGGGTGTCTATTTGTGTGTGGATATATTTTTAGCACCAAAAACAGATTGGCACATCATGGGTGTGCTTGATATCTCTTGAATTAATGAATATGTAGCACTTACTTGTTGAGGACCTATTCCATGCCAGGTTCTTGGCAGGGCACTGGGAATCCAAAGCTGGGGAAGAGTGGTCCCTGCCTTCTGTCCCAGCTTTTGTTTGTTTTGAACAAAAGCACCATTTGCCTGTTCAGCTGTGCTCTGCTCCCTCAGCCTGAGGCTTTGGACCCTTTTTGACTGTTCTTGCTGGATAGTTAGACCCATCTGCCTCTGATCCCAGGGCCTTCTCTTGAATCCTACCCAGTGTTACGCTGCTTCAGGATGCTGCTGTCTTGTTCTTTCCCTCCCTCCACTGAGGCGGCCCTGAATTTGCATCCACTGGCGAGCATGCGTAAGATCTCTTCCTTCCCGCCCAGCTGCTTCCCTGAGCTTGGAAGTAGGCTTTCCATTTTCTCACCCTTTTTGTTTTGTTTTGAAGATTTTGTTTATTTATTCATGAGAGACACAGAGAGAGAGGCAGAGACCTAGGCAGAGAGAGAAGCAGGCTCCCTGTGGGGAGCCTGATGTGGGACTTGATCCCAGGACCCAGATCACTACCTGAGCTGAAGGCAGATGCTCAACCACTGAGCCACCCAGGCATCCCTTCCTACCCTTATTGACCCAGGTTTGAATTCTGTCTCTACCACTTCTCACCTGGATTGACTTTGTGTGAATTGAGTAGCATCTCTGAACCTCGGTTTTCTCTATGTAATAGGGCTAAAACAGGACTTACCACATAGGGATATTGTGAAAATTAAATGAAACAATGTATGTTTGGCACAGTCCCTAGGATGAATTACCCTTCAGTAAATGCTGCCTTCTGTTGTTATTATTGAGTTGTTACAGGTTAAGCAAGTCATTTATGTAGCATGTTTATGAAAGCACTCAATGAATGGTAGTTACCATACTGCGGTCCCCGTCATAACCACTTCTCTCTCTTTTTTTTTTTTAAGATTTTATTTATTCATGAGAGACACACAGAAAGAGGTAGAGACATAGGCAGAGGGAGAAGCAGGCTCCCTGTGGGGAGTCCGATGCAGGACTCCATCCCAAGACTCCGGGATCACAACCTGAGCTGAAGGCAGATGCTCAACCACTCTGCCACCCAGGCATCCCCACCATCACAACCACCTTAACCAATCCTTTTAGTATCCCTCCTCTCTAGGATGACCCACCAAATCCATGGAAGCTACTCTTTGTTCTAACCTTACAAAGATTTCCCTAACCTTCCTGTTTTTTTTCCCCCACTCAGACCTGAAAGAGGACTATGACCAGTGGAACAGCCTCATTGAAGGCATCGGACCATCGCTTACCCCAGGGGCCCCACACCATCTGTCCAGCCTGTAGGCACAACCAGCCATTTGTGAAAGGTCACTGGGCTGAGTTACCATTTGGGGCCTTCACGGGGATACCTGTAGCCTCCTATCAAGAACTGGTTGAGATGACCCTTCTTCACAGTTTGAGAGGATGTAATCACACTGCTGATTGGATAACTGGATACTTTGATCTTGGACTTGTTGATTTTAAACTCATGCTGAGACTTGGATCACTTACTGATTGGCACACTGGCTTTCTGGGAACTGAACCCTGATGGTGTGGGGAACAAGCAGTGGGGTAGAGTTGGGGTGGGGGGTTTCTTCAAACCCCAAACTGAGCACTGTTAACTCAGTGGCCTATTCCCTCCCCTTGAGCCAGTGTGGCTTCTGGCGTGGAAGAAATTAAGCCAAAGGGTTGAAGTAAATTTCCTACCTTCGAGACCTTTAGCCCAGCCTAGCACTGTCTCTTCTTACCTCTCAGCCTTCTCCCTCCCGAGGGCCACTTGGTAAGTTCTGAGCACTTTTGGAAACTTTCTAGGATATGGACCACCATCAGATTTTCCATTTGTTTTTAAGCCTTCTTGTTGCAAGAAACATGGTCAGGCCTCAGACTTGTGAGCCCACAGAGGAGGCAGCAACATTGTCCTCACAGCATAAGGAGAGAAACGAAGGGCCAGAGCGGTATCATAGAAGCTTGGATGTCATGGAGGTTTGCCAAAAGTCTATCTTGACAAGAGTCAACACAAGTTGGTGGAGGTGAAGAAGATAGATTAATGCCGTTAAGTGGCCATTTGAATAAGACACAAGGGGATCCCTGGGTGGCGCACCGGTTTGGCGCCTGCCTTTGGCCCAGGGCGCGATCCTGGAGACCCGGGATTGAGTCCCGCGTCGGGCTCCCGGTGCATAGAGCCTGCTTCTCCCTCTGCCTGTGTCTCTGCCTCTCTCTCTGTGTGTGTGTGACTATCATACATAAATAAAAATTAAAAAAAAATGAATAAGACACAAGAGGGAGGACACAAGAGGGAGGCAGTTTGGTAAGTTAGAATTCAGGCAGCCACCCCTAGAGATGTCTAGGAATACTTTGGTCTTGCCTCTTACATCAGATATCATGAGCCTCCAACTTGCTCAGAATCAGGGTACTATAGTTGTCTGTTTTCCGGCTCTTAGGCCCTAGCCTCAAATGTAAGTCAAGATATAGGCTGAATTTCCATTCTGTTCCATTTATAATACGAATGATATTAATACTCATGTTTGCCTAATGATATGTTGGAATATTTTCTTTATTTAATCTGCATTAGAGCAAGATGGCGAGCCATCTGGAAGTAACTTTTCCTTCTGTCTTTCTTTGTTCGCTTACCACTTACGCCCATGTGGAAAAAAAAAAAAAAAAACTTTAAAAGGAAAGGAAATCTTCCTAGGGATCTAACTCAGAGCTATCCGAGAACATCAACCTGATACTCTCCTCTCCATTCCTCTAGACTTCATACCTCAGCCCAGGTAGGGGGCCCCAGACGAGGCAGGAGCAAAAGGGAAATGCATCTCTACACAGTAGATCCAAGGTCAGTGCCACCGAAGCAACCTGGAACCATGTCTCCCATCTCTCAACAGCTATTCTTTCTAAGACATGAAACATCAGATCCACTGAGTCTGTGGACCTTGGGAATTCACCTTATAAATTCCGGTGAGATCGAACATAAGGAAAATATCATTCATTAAACCACTGGGCTCTCAAATTCTGTATCCTAGTTTTGTGTCCCAACTCTACCACTACTAACTGGGTAAATTTGAGCAAATCGTGTTCTCTTTCCATTCTTAGTTCCTGAATTTCTAAATTGGGAATCTGTATCATGAATTAAGAGATTAAATGTAAGGATGTATGACCCATGGGTTATTGAAAAGTGTGTTTCCAGCTTTGCGAACATGTGAGATTTTTGTAGTTCTCTAATAGCTTTTTGTTTTCTGGCTTTATTGCTTTATGGTCAAAGAAAATAACCCATGTAGTCTTCATCCTTCAAGATTTTTTGAAACGTGCTTTGGGGCCCAGTGTAAGGTCAGTTTTGTAAATATTCCATATATGATTTAAAAGACTGTATATTTTAAAGTTTTTGGCCTGACCCCTGTGGTCAGGCTGCCAGCCATCACTCTTCATTGGCTTTAATTATTGTGCCAGCCCCTGGCAGCCCTCCCCATTCACTTCAAATTTGTGACATCTGATCAGCCACATTATTTACAACTGTCTAAAATAAAACTAGGTAGTCAGAGAGGGCTTTAGACTTCCTTCTATGAGAGTGCATACAGATATTTAATCGAGCCTTCAAGGCCCCATATGGGGAGCAGAGCCCCTCTGCACTCACAGAACCAGTAGATGCCACATCTTGTGCCTGGGGCTGGTTCTGCAAATGATGCTGAGGGACAAGTTCTGGCAGCATTAGCACATGATACCCAACTTCTATCTTAAATAAATATTGCAGGTATGTTTTGCTTGCAAAGAAGGTACTCAGAAACTGGATTCATCTCCTCCATTCAGTTCCTGTTCTGGTAATGACTCATTTATCTAGTAGTAATACTGGAGTAGGTGAATTTTTATATAATTGAAAATCATCCTTTAATCCACAAAATATAATGCTGTTTTGAATGGCAGTCTACCAAAAAGATAATGCACATATTTTCTTAATGTGAGCTTGACCTCTAACTTTCTAGGAAATTTCTATTCAGAGACTAGATTATGTGGTAGTAACAAGCAACCCCCAAAAGAAACAAGTTTATTTCTTGCCCATGTTCTTGTTCTCTGTTGGTTGGGGAAGCTCTGCCTCATGTCATTTTTATCCTCATTTGGGGAGTCAGGCCAGCAGAGTTGCTGCCGTCTGAAAGTGTTCATTGCCAGTTGCCATGGTGGAGCACCCACTAGCTCTGAAACTTCTGCCCAGGAGTGCCACTCACTATTTCCATTCACGTTTCATTAGCCAAAGCAAGTAATCTGGCCATACCTAACATCCCATACTACCCGAAGAGAGCCGACATATCTGTGACCAGGTCTACTATCTAAGCACTGGTGCCCTCCAGTCTGTAAAGATGTAGATAGCTGTTTGTACCTACCCTGTGTGGCCCCGGTGACTGTCCTCTTAATTCTTTTTTTTTTTAATTTTTTATTTATTTATGATAGTCACACAGAGAGAGAGAGAGGCAGAGACACAAGCAGAGGGAGAAGCAGGCTCCATGCACCGGGAGCCTGACGTGGGATTCGATCCCGGGTCTCCAGGATCCCGCCCTGGGCCAAAGGCAGGCGCCAAACCGCTGCGCCACCCAGGGATCCCTGTCCTCTTAATTCTTTTGATTGCTTTCAGGGTTTGTGCTGTCTCCCCTGTGGTCAGGCTGCCAGCCATCACTCTTCATTGGCTTTAATTATCGTGCCAGCCCCTGGCAGCCCTCCCCATTCAGTTCAAATCTGTGACTTCTGATCAGCTACATTATTAACAACTGTCTAAAATAAAACTAGGTAGTCAGAGAGGGCTTTAGAGACCCTCCTGCAGTTAAAATGCACCGCCTTTAGCTCTTGGACTTTATATCCTTCCTTTTACTGCTCAGAAGGGATATCACAGGCCTTTAGTCCTTTGTCCTGTTTTTTTGTTAGCTTCCAGGGGATTGAAAGACACCAGATAAATGGGCCTTTAGATAAGTAAGGTAATCATGCGTATCATTTGGCATTTGCTGGCAAATTACCTTCTAGTGAATCCTTTCCAAAAGCAAAGAAGTTGTCTAGAGTTTCTTTTACATCTTGTTCCGCATCCCATTATAGGACTGTCCCTACGAAGCCTCCTAGCGGTACATGGTGAAGCTTCTGTGCATGCAACAGGAGGGAAGGTTAGTAAACAGACTGGAATAAGATTCCCCATCCCTCCCACTTCCTGCACTTATCAGGCTGAAGCTCATTCACTTCAAATTCAATTCATCGAGTTCCCAGGTGCTTTTCTCCTATGTTCTGACATAGCTGCCTCGCTCATCTTTAAGAGGACTACAGGGGGGATCCCTGGGTGGCGCAGTGGTTTGGCGCCTGCCTTTGGCCTAGGGTGCGATCCTGGAGACCCGGGATCAAATCCCACGTCGGGCTCCCGGTGCATGGAGCCTGCTTCTCCCTCTGCCTGTGCCTCTCTCTCTGTGTGTGACTATCATAAATAAATAAAGAAAAAAATATTTAAAAAAAAAAAAAAAAGGACTATAGGGCTCTTGAAATGTCAGTTGATGGGATCCAACTCCATGTCTGGGCCTTGTGGGGACCTATATCAGTTCCTCTCTCCCTCCGAGGCACCACTTACCCCTGGGCCTGCAGAGTGACAGAGGGACAGGAGAGGCCATACTCTGTACTCAGGACCCATCCTCATTAGGAAGCTTATTTTCTGTCCCTTCACAACCACACACAGATGCCAAGTGTCCCTGCTGTCACTGCATGGCAAAGTAACCTCAATGATGATCATCATAGCCTGTGTTTATTGGGCCTTTCCATGAGTCAAGGACTATGTTTAGGGCTTTATGTGCATCATCTCACTTGCTTCTCACAGGAGCCCCCTGAGGTCAGGTGCTATTGGCCTCATTTTATGTATGAGGAAACAGACATTAGACCTTAGAGAAGTGACTTCATCAAGCTGTCACAGCAAGAATTTGGCAAAGCTGACATTTCAGCATTAGAACCTAAGCTCCTAATCACTGAGCGATACTGCTGGATACACATACTCAGTTTTGTACCTTCTTCCTCTGTCTCTTTAAACTACCAGGGCATGAAGAATGCAATTTTATGAGAAACTGAATAAAAAATATCAGACTACTTGGGGTACCTGGCTGGCTCAGTCAGTGGAACATGCAACTCTTGATCTCAGAGGTAATAAGATCGAGCTCCACATTAGGTATAGAGCTCACTTAAGAATAAAATCCTTTAAAAAAAAAGTCAAACTCCAGCAATTTCTCTACAACTTATATTTAGACTCAGTGACATCCTCAGTATTATTGAGAAAAGGGTTGGGGAAAGAAGTGTGCCTCACCAAGAACTGTGAGTTAAGTGCTTGGTTGGTTTAATACATGAGGAAAGCAATTCAGGGGTTGAGAAGATGATCTTCAAAATCAGATAGGTCCACCACTATTAGTCCCAAAACTTCATGCTGTTCATTCTATGAACTTTGGTTTCCTCATTTGCAAAATGAGAATTTGGATTGTATTTACTTCTTCGAGTTGTAATAATTAAATAATACACGTAAAGCACTTAGCACAGTGTCTATCCTAAGGGCTTCTAGCAACATTGGCTATGACAGGGATTGTGTTCTTTGGTCCTCCTTCCATTCCTGTGTGGTCAGGTATTATTTGCCCTTCACTGAGTGGACCCCAGTGATCCTGGTCTGAGTTCTTCCTGCAGCTTGTCTGGCTTCCCCAATACTTCCCTCACAAGAAGCCTGCCCAATGCCACCCAATTGCTTGCATTGTGTGAGGAGGAGGAGGGGGGTAGATGAATAGGTTTTCTGTTCTCTTTTCCCTGATTTCCCTGCTCCTCAAATCAACACTTGAAACCCACCCTGCCGTTGTAGCCTTGCAGGCTCCCTTCACCACCAGGAGTCTATGCTCTTAGGTTCTGGTTTGGGTTTCAGTTTCATACCTGATCATCCATGCATCCTGTCTATGCATCAGTGTAACCTGGAGGTCCTCAGATTTTGAGTGGGAAAATCAGAGGTCAGTGTAGAGTGGGGGAGGAAGGATGGAGTTTGTAGTAGAGGCTAGCTACAGTAATTGTCTGCTGTCCCTGAGGTGGACATAATGGGGCTAAAGTGGCCTGTGACCTCTTCAGGAGACACTTCCCAGGTCTTGGCACAGCTCTCCCCATCACTGCTAGCTCTGACTTCCCCCCGCAGGCCCTGTGTGTCCTCCCCCCTCTTTGAGGCTAGTCTCACCAGCAGCTTGCCCCTGGACTGATCTCTTTCTCCCTATGTCCTGCTGCCAAATCTGCCTACCATTCTACTTTCGTATCAGAATGCCAGCCTGGGGCAGCCCCGGTGGCGCAGCAGTTTAGTGCCACCTGCAGCCTAGGCCGTGATCCTGGAGACCCTGGATCGAGGCCCACGTCAGGCTCTCTGCATGGTGCCTGCTTCTCCCTCTGCCTGTGTCTCTGCCTCTCTCTCTGTGTGTGTGTCTCTATGAATGAATGAACGAACGAATGAATGAATGAATGAATAAATAAATAAATAAATAAATAAATGAATGAATAAATAAATAAAATCTTTAAAAAAAGAAGAAGAAGAAGAAGAAGAATGCCAGCCTGGCAAGGTGGTCTGACAGGAAGAGGACTAGAGTGCTGGGCTGGAGCCCTGGGTTCTTGTCTCTACCCTCTGTCATGGACTGTCTTGTCACGGTCTCTTGCTGGGTGACCTCACCCATGTGCCTTTCCTCTTGTGACTTCGGCTTCCCTGTCTAGGTTAGGATGTGGATGATGGTTGTTGAATTGGCTAATCCCCGAGGCCCTTCTGTTCTGCCATTGCGGGGCTCTGCCCTGGAGTTGTCAGCAATCTGCATGACTCCCTTGTTTCTGTAGGATGGTGTCTTGCCCCCTCACTCTGTCTGGTCTTTCCTTACCCGTTCTATCCTCTGCTTCTTACCACACACTCTTTTTCCACAGACCCCCTAACATGCCCACCCATTCCCCAGACCAACATGCACAGATCCCCTAACATGCCCACCCATTCCCCAGACCAACATG